GAATGCAAACATCATGTGGCTGCCATGCACCCCGCGCACCACCTCCCGAACCACAATGGCTAACGAGGAGGGAAACTAGGGAATGGAGAAAAGAGGCAGGGGCATCCCCGCGCCGGGCCTAACAGCACGTTTACCAAGTGGCATCACGTCACCCCCGCGCTGCTGCTCGGGTAGGAAAGCCTCGCCGAGAAACGCAACGACGCCATCGGAAGAGCGCACCGCACACGGAGGGGCAAGTGGAGGCGAGAAAGTCCGGGCGGGCCCCCCATCAACGGGCTCCTCCTCCCGGTCCCCTGATGGGCTGAGAGCGCCCGGAGAAAAGCCAAGGTGGGAGAACCACGCCCTTCGAGAAGGCCCGGGCCCGGCGGGCGCCCCGCGCCGCCTCTCGCCACCGCCGCAGCCTCAGGGAGGCGAGCGACCCTCCTAAGTGCCGGCAGCCCAGGGCACACAATGGCGCCGGGGCCACCATCTTGGATCGGGCCGCCCTTGTCTCCCCGTCTTCCTGCTCTCCTACCCCTCCCCCCCGCGGAGCTCTCGGCTCTCGAAAAGGCTGAAAGCCATGTAAAGAACAACTCCATCGTGTCCCCGCGACCAGACCGACGCCTATGGAACGGGTATCAGGAGCCGAAACCATAGAACCACCGGGGAGAAGCGCGGATGGAGGCGGATGGTAATGAAGGCCAGAGCTTACCTGAGCAGGGTGAGCGTGTATGGCGGCGGCAACAGCCACGAAGGAGGGAATCTGCCTTCACTTCCGGTTCCCGGCTTCCCTCCACTCCGGCCTCCCCGCCTTCTGCGCCGCCAGCGCGCAGGCGCAGCGGCCGACCGGAAGCAGGACCTGCCGCGGTTCTCGGGTTTCGCGCGCTCAGGGCTTGCCTGGGGAAAATGCCTGCCAGGTGTTTTTTGTTTTTTTGTTTTTTGTTTTTTTTTCAATCTTTTCTAACTCCTCGACTGCCGCCAGCAACAAAACACGTGTCTTTCGCGCTCTTATCTGTTCTGCCCAGTCCTCCCCCGCGGCCATCATCACCCTTTCCTGGGGGTTTGGCCACGCGGGGCTCCGGACACGCCTCTGTGGGAACGAGGTGGCGAGACGGGGCGGGGGCTGCGGTTCCCACGGGTCCTCCTGGGCCCTGGACTCGGGGTGACCTGCGGGCATCGGGGCTCCGGCTGCGGGGAGGCAGCGCTGTGCCCGGAGCCCCTCGCGTGCACAGCGCTGGCCGGCAGCAGTGCTGACCGCTGGAGCCGGCGGCGCCAGGAAAGTCAGGTGTTGTGAATCCGCCGGGCGGAGGCGGCCCTCGGCTGCTGCAAATAAGTAGTAACAGCCTGCGGGTTAAACGGCATTCTGGAAATGTGAATTCAAGAATTGCAGCCGAGTGTCCTCAACCCCGCCCCAGTGCCCCCATTGTTTCGGCTGGACTTTTTTTTCCAGAAGGAAAGGGGTACCGTCCTTCCCTTCTCTATGAGATGTTGGGGGAAGTAACAGGTGCTGCCCTAAGCATAGTGAAGGTCGCGGACCTTGGTGAAATTTTCCTTTTGAAATCTTGTTTCATATTTTTGCCTCCTTTTGAAAAGTTCCTCCTGGCGTCTGGTTTTTATAAGAACACCAGCTAGGCTGTTAGGAGGAACCCCTATTGTAATATGAATTACTGCTTCCCAGAGTTCCAGTTTTATAAGAAATGAAAAATGGTGACAGAGAGGGGAGCGTGATGGCTCAGTGGACTAACCCTCTCCTGCAAGCGCCATGATCCCATTTAGGCACTGGTTCATGTGCAGGCTGCCCCGCTTCCCATCCAGTACCCAGTTAGTGGCCTGAGAAAGTAGTGGAGAATGACCCAAGTCCTTGGACCCCTGCACTTGCGTGGGAGACTGGAAGAAGCTTCTGGCTTTAGACTGGCCCAGCTCTGGCTGTGTGGCCACTGGGGAAGCGAGCCAGGTTTCAGTCTCTTTGTAAATCTGCCTTTCCAATAAAAATAATTAAGTCTTAAAAAAGGAAAATGTATCAAAAAGTGCCATTAAGAGACTTAATCCAAGTGTTGGCCCTATTTCTTTGAATTTTTGTCAGGAGGAAGAAGATGGAGCTTCTGAGTGAGCCAAACAGGATTCTGTTCCACCTGTGACTGTTACCGTCTGTCCTGTTGTTTTGTTTTTTTTTCTTCCAATTGTGCTTAAAAGACCATTTCTACCATTCTCTCGGGTCTTGTAAACTGTCCTCCCCCCCCCGCAGCAGCAGGTGTCTGTATTTAATATCTTTAATAAATCTTTGTGCACTGACATTGTCCGCAGGAAGATTCTTCTCATGTGAGACAAAAACCGAGGTCGCCTTCGTCATCTCCCTGTGAACAACACTGCTGCTTAATAAAACCCGGCAGAGGCGAGGATTTGGGCCTCTCCTTGTTAACACATCTAAGGAGCAGGCAACATCATTTGCACTTTGTGGAAAGGCAAAACAGAAGTAAAGCTGTATATCCAAACACTGCTAGAAAAATGGCAAGCACGGGACCCCTCGGATCCTCGGTCGTGTGCTGTCCCACTGCTTCGGGAACCTAGTAAACAGGGCAGGCCTTTGGCGGGAACCCCTGGCCATGGACAGTGCCTGGACTGGGTGCCGGCTCTGGTCTAAATGCCCAGTTCTTGCTGGAGCGTGCCATGGAAGGCAGCTGATGGGGGCTCCGGTGACTGGGTCCCTGCCACCCACGCAGGACACAGGTTGCGTTCCGACTTTGGCCAGGTCAGCCCTGGCTGTTGCAGGCATCTGGGAAGTGAAACAGTAGGTGAAAATCACCGCCTGTCTCAGGCTGCCAAAGAGTCACGTTGTTTTAAAGAGTCTGGTAAATACACTAAGGATTCAAACTGCTATGGTAAGAGATAGGACTGGTCAGTGTTGTCACTGAAGGACAGTTTTCCCAACCCTAAATATTTAACTGATATCTTCTTAAACATTTTTCTTTTGTATTTATTTATTTGAAAGGGAGAGACAGAGCCCTTCCATCTGCTGGATCACTCCCCCAAATGTCTACAAAGACCAGGGCTAGGTCAGGCCGAAACCTGGAGCCTGAAACTCCAGCTAGGTCTCCCACATGGTGGTAAGGGTCCAAATACTTCAGCCATCTGCTGCTTTCCCAAGTGTTTTAGCAGGGAGCTGGATCAGAAATGAAGTGTCTGGCCCCAACTAGGTTGCTGTTCCCGTTGTGCTTAATGACCAGGTCTGTGGCAGGCTGGGTCGGGCTGGCCCATATCACCCATCACTTTGAATGGGATGTGAGGCCAGGGACAGAACTGACCAGACAACTACAGTCACCAGTGTGTGTGTAAGCTGATGTGTGTGATGGACTGAACCTGACCCTGTACTGGTTGGCACATGCAAAAGGCAGGTCTGGGGTCACCCCCTGTGAAATTTTGTTGGGTGCCCCCCCAACTCAAAACTCTAGCTACAGGGAGAATCATAGGATTTGTAGTCCGACCTTGGAATGCACGTAGTGGGACTGGGCCTCCTCGATTGCTAATGCCTGTACAGTGGATGGCATGCCCAGGTCTAGGTGCATATGGGGGACAAGATGGCCAGCTCATTTAGGCCTGCATACACTGAATGTCAAAGATGGAGAACAGAACAGGTTGGACAAATCTACTGACCAGGATTGGGCAGCAAGTGTCTGAGTGGATGCGGTAGGGTTGGACTCTGTCAGCCAATGGGCTTTGGAAGGATTTCCTCAGCCTTGGAGCAACAGACCAATGGCATCTCAGAGCTGTAAATCACTCAAGCAATACCCTTGGAACATTCCTCTGCACATCAAGGTTTCCAAGATGACATCAAGTAGACACCCCCCACCCATCTCTGGGTACTGATGTAGTTTGGCAGCTTGGAGCAGCCTCCTCCCTGCCCTCCTCCCCCTCCCCACCCATACAGCAGAAAAAGGAAGAAAAGGAAAATTGGACATTTGTCCCACACACTTTTCCCCCCCATGCCTTGACCCTCCCCACCCTAATCAGTAGTCTTCATGGGCCTGCACCCCCATCAACTGTGTAAACAACATCCAAAATACAATTTCAATAAAAGAAAAGCAGTCTGGGGCCAGCATGTGGCACAGCATGTTAAGCTACTGCCTGTGGTGCTGGTATCCCTTATTGACAATGAGTCCTGGCTGCTCCTCTTCAATCAGGCATCCTGGAAGGTAATGGCCTAACTGCTAGCTGCCCGTGTGCAAGGCCACATGAAGTTACAGGCTCCCACTCAAGTCATTTGAGGATTAAAACAGGACATGGAAGGTCTTTTTTTTCTCCTTCCCCTGGGTGAGTCACTCTTTCAAATAAACACATTTTTTCAAAAGGACAGAACAAGGGGGGAGGGGGAGTGAAGCATCTGAAGTGATGGCATTGCAGACAACAGCTTAAACCACTGTGCCACAATATGAGCCCTGATACAATGTAACTTTTTCAACAGTGTTTATCAACTGTGTGCCAATGGTAGTACTGGCTGGGATGCAAAACAAAAGGTTAAGGGAGCAAAGAGCGCTTGTTCCCCGAGGGTGTTAAAGCACAGCCAATTAAGGAACACTTGTATCTTACTGCCAGCTTTACTCTCAGTCCAGCTCCCCATCCCTGGGGAGCAGCCAGTGCTGGGTCCCTACTGCCCATGTGGGAGACTCATCTGGAGCTCTTAGCTCCTCAGCCCAGTCGCCCAATCCACCCCTGCCCAGCTGTTGCGGGCATTTGGGGGAGTGAGCCAGCACACAGAGAAGATACCTATCTCTGTCTCTCTTTTAAACCGTTGAAAGAGTGCTTGTTCCTTCCTGCCAGCTTCTCTCTTGGAGTGACCATGTTACTCCCTAGAGCTTCCCAAACCAGCAGCCACACGGTTCCCATTTTAGAGAAACCCCACAGCGCTATTTGCTGTTGTTTTTCCAGGCATCAAAGGACAGCGTTTTGGAGCATCTGTGGATCTGTGAGCTAGCACGAGGGAATGGAGGGGAATGAGAAAGGAAGCTACCAGAAGCTGTTTTGTCTCACCAGTTGACTCATTTTTATTGACTCAGTTCATTGTTACAAGGGGAATGTAAGATGAGGGTGTGGGAAGGCTGGTCATGCATTTCAAGGGGTGCATCATGGCTGCACACGCGGCAGGAAGCTGCTGAGGCTGGGGAGACAGCTGATGGAGAACACACACGAGCTGCCAAGAGGCTGAGGGGGCAGACTCCACGGGGAGTCATGACGCAGGGACTAAATGAGGCCCCCGTCCCGCCTTTCCTTGGGTCCTAAAATCTTCTGGGAATTAGAGAATTATCAGAGTCGCAGACGGAGTGGGATTAGAGAGCCGCCGACAGACGGGAGGAGACAGCTGAGTTCAGGTTTTGGCAGATGCGCAGTGGGGGAGGACACCATCCCTGGGCTCCTGGCTCTTACAGGCACTTTATAGGACACGGTACAGTGCAGCCTATGGCAGGCAGATGTCACTATGAATCCAGTCCCCTAGGAACCTCAGCTGTACGACCAGCAGGTGGCAGGGCTGGGAGAAGGACCCAAATCCGCCCACTGTGGAGTCAGCACTTTGCACATCCCTGCTTCTCCATGTTCCAATTTGCACTGCGTGTGCCTGGGAAGCTGACAATGTCCCGGGGAAGGTTAAAGAGCAGCAGGGAGATACAGCTTGGGGCAGGATATACATGTTTCACAGGACAATAGTGGATCCTGCCTCCTGCAATATTCAGGGAATGAAAATCAGAGAAGGATTGAGAGGGAATAGGGGGATGCTGTCTTGGGAGACCTCTTTCAGGGAGGAAACTAGGCAGGAGTCGGGCCATATGCCGGGTTCTATGCAGCGATCCGGTAGTTGGGGTGAACCTGGGGCCTGACATCACAGACCATGCCAAGAAGCTGGGCCAGGACACGCTCACGGTTTCTCTGCTGCGAGCTTTGCATGCCCTGCACCTGGCGCCTCGTAGCCTGCTCCACCTCAGCCGACAGGTTCCCCTGGGAGCCCATGGCCTGGGGAGGGGGAGGAAAGGGGGAGGTGGGGAAAGGGGGAGAAGAAAGAAAGGGAAAGCAGAAACAAAGAAGAATCCAGGCACATAGAAGCAAAGGTCCAGTCTGGGAGCTTGCCAACAAGAGAGGACTTCTCAGAAACTACCACTACCCAGCTGGTGGAACCATCCAGGCCCCAAGGATACCCCACCTGGCAAATCCACGCAGGCACCAGAGATCAACATCACCCTTCTGGCCCAAGCCCCAGCAGGCAACTCCATCCTAAAACAGACTGGACATCCTCCCCCTACCTCACTACCGGGGGACCCCAAACGCTCTCCTACTCCCCATAGATAACAATATTACCCCACAGGACATGTCCTTCCAGACTCCCAGACCCTCTGCATCACAGAGCCAGGGTCCCCTGCACCCTCTGACACTTTACGTTCCTAGGGAATCACCTGCACACCCCTGACCCCATGCACCCCTAGATCGGCCACTTCCCCCCAGACCCCTACAACTCACAGCCTGCTGCTTGCTCTGGAACTCCTGCTCACGCTCCCGGCGGTACTGCTCCACCTCCATCTGCGCCTCCTCCTTGGCCTGCTTCAGCCGCCGGGCCTTCCCTGAAGGCAGAGCCAGGGCACAGGGGGTGGGGGTGGATCCCCCAAAATGTGACAGTGAAGGGGTCAGTCCCCACCAACCCAGGGTCACTCCCCTCCGGCCTCGCCTCCAGCCCACTGCCCCCCAGGCCTGGGTTTTCCCACGGACTCCCCTGCCCCGCTTTCCCCCTAGACTCCCGGGGAAGGGAGCGCGGACTCACGCTTCCTGGCATCTGCCACCTTCTCAGCGGCCCGCTTCTCAGCCTGCAGCAGCTGCTGGATACCCTGGGACTGACTGGCCATCTCTGTCCTTGGGGCTGATGCTGCTTCGTCCGCTAACCAAGGTACCTGACGGCTCCCACCGCCGCCTCCAGCTCGCTGCTGCAGTCCTCCACTACGCCCTGGGTCTTAGCGCTCCCCCTTCTCGCTCAGCCTCCCGCACCCGGTGTCTCCCCCATCGGATCACGCCACTGCCGCCCCCGCCTCGCCGCCGGGCAGTACCCCGGAGAGGCCGCCGGGGGGCAGCAGAGACCAGGCGCAGGTAGCCGGTGCAGGCCGGGCCGCCGCTGCGGTCCAGCGATGGGGACTGGGGCGGAGACCCGGGCGGCGCTGGGGTGGGAGGAGGCGCGCTGGAGGACACAGCACGGGGTTGTGGATGGGATGAGAAGGTAGGAATGCCAACGGGCCGTGTGCATTGGGAAGAACATGCTGGGCGTCTCTACTCCCTCTCTCGTGTTCCCATCTCCAGCTTGCCCCCCCCCCCCCCAACGTAGTCCAAATCTGGACTGTTCCCTGTTCCCAAATCCGCACGTCTGCCCCTGTTCCCTCGGCCCTGCCCAGGGCTGTCTCCTCGCGTGCTTGCTCCGAGTCGTCCCTGCTCTGGGCCTCCCCCTGGTTTTGTGTTCTTCCCCATTTTCACTGAGTTTCATCCCTCGTTCTCTCTCTTTAGCATCTCATTTCCTCCTCTGCCATTGAGCCGCAGTCTCGCTCCTCCAGGGTGAGAGACACGCGGAGATCCGCTTCCAGAAAGCCCTCCTCCCTCCGTCCCCCTCCCGCCCTTCGCCCGCTTCGCCCTTCGCCTCTCATTCAAGTCTTTCGGTTTCAAACGGACCGTTCACTTAAGTTCCCTAGTTTCCCCCGGAGGCCCGGCTGAGCAACCACCGGGTCAGGGCGGAAAGACATCCGGGAGTGCGCTCGGCAGTTCATTTCCGCCCTTCGCCTACGACTCCGGCGACTCCATTTCCCCCAGCCCGGCGTGTCTCCGCCCTTCCCGCCTCCCTGCTCGGAGCGTCTGAAACCCGGGCCTGCAGCTCGGGGTGCTGGGCCTGCAGCTCGGGGTGCTGGGCCTGCAGCTCGGGGTGCTGGGACGGGCACAGGCCTGATGAGTAACCCCTCCCCGCAGGTCCCAGGGGGCGAAGCCTCTGCCTCTGTCAGCCGGGTACACGATATTCACTGTCTAGCTCATTATTTAAAATGGTGACTTTGCAAAAATCCAAATTTCTGCTAAAAATTGCCACCCCCATCAGGTCCTATTTCTTTTTTATGTGCTATATGTAAATTTCACTGGGGCTGAGGAACCTGGAAGCTACAAACCACCCTTTCCTCAAAATTTATGTGAAAAAAAAAAATCTGCAACTCCAGTCCCACTCAATTTTTTTCTGACCATCACCTAACGAGGGATGAGGGTTAGGCTAGGCCTTGGGTTTGTTGTTTCCTGAAGATGTGAGAAAAGGGGGACACCCAAAGGAGGGGTCATCCAAGGGAGGAACAAGAAAATATCATCAGCAGCGGGGGAGAGGGCCGGCCAGGCTGGGGTGCTCACTGCTTCCATTCTCTCCTTCCTCAGCCCAAGACTTCCATGGCCTCCACCTCGCGCCGTCAGCGCCGAGAGCGTCGCTTCCGCCGCTACCTGTCTGCAGGCCGGCTGGTCCGGGCCCAGGCCCTCCTCCAGCGCCACCCGGGCCTTGACGTGGACGCTGGGCAGCCCCCGCCACTGCACCGGGCCTGTGCCCGCCACGACGCCCCGGCCCTGTGCCTGCTGCTGCGGCTCGGGGCTGACCCTGCCCACCAGGACCGCCATGGGGACACGGCCCTGCATGCTGCTGCCCGCCAGGGCCCCGACGGTGAGTCCTCCTCACGGGGAAGCAAGGTGGTGAGCAGCTGACCGGCTCTGACGCAAAAGCCAACCAGGAGTTGAGAAATAAGAGGCTTCCTGACATAGTTGACCAAGCTGGCATATGGCTGTGACTTATGCTTTTCCAGTTCTGAGCTGCCATGGTCTGAGAGCCCTCTGGTACCAAAAAGCAGCAGGTCTTTAAATTGCACATTTTCCTAGATTGTCAGTAGCTACTCTGTGTTTTGACTTACTTCTCCGTAGTGGAGAAGGTAGGCTCTGGAAGTTTAGGTGATACTTATTTATTTAGATGGCAGAATGGCAGAGCTGTCTTCCATCCAACGGGTCTCCAAATGGTTCACTCCCCAAACGGCTGCAGCTGGGCCAGCTGAGGCCAGGAGACAGGAACTCCGCCTGGCCTCCCACCTGGTGACAGGGGCTGAATGCTGAAGCTGCCACCCACTGCTTTCCAGGCGCATTAGCAAGGGAGCTGGCTCAGGAGTGGAGTAGCCAGGACTCAAACCTCAGGATAAAGACATCTCAAGGGATGGCTTAACGTGCTGTGCCACAACCCCCACGTATATTATCTGTAAAACTTCTCACAAAGTACTTTTTTTTTTCTTTTAATGCCCTAACAAGCCTGTAAGGTAGACTCGGACATTATCTCCCACTTTCCAGATTAGGAAGCTGGGCAAAGCTGCCTAGGTAGTCACTGCACAGGGCCATCGCCCAGCAGCTCGCTGGAGCATCCACGCTCTGGACGGCTGCGTTGGCCTGTGTGTGCCTGACTGAGCAGCTGTTCACACAGGTTCAGCATGCCCATGCTGTGACATGCGTGGCCCGAGAACCATGTGTGTGCTGATAGTGAATGACACGACAGTCTGCCCTGCAGACCTGCGGACTCTGTATTTGTATTCATGAATCCAAAAGAATCAAAAAGTCTCCAGAAAAGCAAGTTACTTCTGATAGACTTGTCTCTGAACAGTACAACGTAACAACTGTTCACTTCAGGTTTACATGATTGTTTTTTTTTTTAATTCTTGTTTAGGTTTTATTTGTATGAAAGGGAGAGAGACAAAGCCACAGGGACAGGCAGAGAGCTTTCACCACTGCTTCATTCCTGGAATGCCTGCCACAGTCGGGGCTGGCACCAGCTGAAGCCAGAGGCAGTTCTCCCACGTGGATAGCCAGGACCTAGGTCCTCAAACCAGCACCCGCTGCCTCCCAGGATGTGCAATAGCAGGAAGCTGGAATCAAAAGCAGAACCGGGACTTGAACCCAGGCACTCCAGGATGGGGTGGAGGTATCCCAAATGGCTTCTGAACCAGAACGTCCAACTCCACTCCTCGTACCATATATTCTATATAACCTGAAGATGGCACATGCATAGGTTAAATATAAATACCACACCAGTTTATATACAAGACTGTAGCCTCTGCAGACTTTGGGGTCCAGGCCGGGGTGTGTCGTGGATACAGTCCCCTGTGGGTTCCCGGGGATAACTGTAATTGGAGCCACGGCACAGGAGAAGCACTTGCAGCCTCTGACGATGGTTCCTGTTGCAGAGTGACAGAGGGGGTGATGAGGAGAGATCTCTTCTGTGCTGTTTCATTCCCCAGATGGCCACAATGGCTAGGGTTGAACCAGGGCAAAGCCAGGAGCCCAGAACTGCATCCAGGCCTCTTATGTGGGTGGCAGGGCCCCCGGAACTGGGACCATCTGCTGCTGCTTTCCTAAATGCATTAGCAGAGAGTAGCTGGATTAGAAGCAGAGTAGCTAGGACTCATATGAGATGCTGGTGTAACACGCAGTAGCTTAACTGGCTATGCCACAGTGCTGACCCCTTCATTGTCAAAATTCTAAGTAGCAGGTGAGATTGCTGTTACTAGTCTGCCTACAGACAAGGCAAATTGGCCCCAGCAGGTTCCAGAACTTGTCTGAAGTCTCACAGCTGATAGAAGTCCTTTTCCAAAGCAGACACCACTCTCAAAAGCCTGGTGTCCTCTCAGGCCTTTTGTCCCACTGGTCCTCTGTCAGCCCTGCCACCAGATGGCCTTCTAGGTCCTGGGTTAAAAGGGCCAGCGCTTTCAGTTTCCGGCTGCTTTAGAGACCACCCCATCTTGGTAAAAGAAGGTAACTTCTTTAAACAGATTAAATGACCCAGGATCTCCTGCTGGGAGGTTTCCTGCCCCACCCCACCCCTAGTTCCATGTTGGGTCTGAGACAGGTACCAATACCTGCTGGAGTGACTGGGCTGGGTTATCACAGCCAATAAGATGGCAGGAAACAGCCCCACCTTTGGGTTTTGTGGAGAGTTCTTTGCAGAGCCCACCTTGTCACAGGAAAGTGGTGTCAGCTCTCAGATACCGCCATGTAAATACACCTTAGGGGACACTCTCTGTCCAAAGCAAGAGTTAGTAAATATAGAAACAGGGTCGCTTTCTCACAATTTGCCATAAGAAAGCAAGCCAGAGCTGAGCTGACATGGTGGTTAAATGTGGCCTCGGTTGTATTTCAGCTCTGGGCCAGTACCAGGCATTTACACCCATTACGCACTGCAGTCTGCACCCTGGAAGTGGGTGCTAACCCCGTTTTGCAAGGGCTGAGCCCTCCAGCTTGTGTTCCACTCTGCTTTCCAGCCTCGCCTCCCACCTCACACCCACAGACCTGCGACTCCAGCTACGCAGTCTTCTCCTGTGACCCAGACACGCCTTCCACAAGCCTGCTTTCTTGCCTCATCTCATTTCCGCTTTGCAAAGTTACTCTCTCTGCTCCACCTGCTCCCCGGAGCCCTCTCTGACCGCCTCACCTACGGTGACCCTTTCCTCCTCCAAGGCCCAGCAACCACACACAAGCTTCTGATTTTGGCATGTTTAAAAGCCATGTTCTTTTTTTGCCAGTTAGTGTGCCTGTCCCTTTTAAAGTAAAAATCATATCTTATTACAGCTTCGGAAGAGCAGTGCTTCTACCACTAAGACAAAGTGAAGTTTTCCTCCACAAAACTTTTTGATGTTTATTTTTTCCAGTTGAAAAAATGACAGGGTGTGGGGCAATGGAGACGCTGTTTGGGGCACCCAGGTCCCATTGCTGGTTCAAGGGCCTGGCTCTGCTGTCCATTCCCACTTCCTGCTGCCGTGCATCCTGGGAGGCAACAGGAGATGGCCCAAGTCCTTGACTCCCTGCCGCCCGCACAGGACAGACACCTGGATTGTGTTCAGGACTGCTAGTTCCAGCCTGGCTGTTGTGGGCTTTGGGGGGGCATGCACCAGCAGATGGAAAATCTGTCTTTGACTTTCAGATATATATAAAAAAAAAATTTTTAAGCATAACATATGGGAGGTCTTCAAAAAGTTCATAAAAATGCTTTTATGCAAAAAACTGCATGGATTTAAAAATTCCTTTTTTTCACATTTTATTATTATTGCTATCATTTTACGATACCGTTCCATATTCCCCTATCCCCTCCCCAAGTCCCTCCCCCCCTAAAAATTCTTTTACCCCAAAATAAACCTATCTTTTAATTTTTCTGTTAACTTTTTTCAAACAAAACTGTACCAAAAAATAAGTGGAATCACTCATCATTCTGAAACAGTAATTTTGAGAGACACTGTCACCTAGGACCCCGGATTCCTCTGCCACAGCCACGTCCTCTTCCTCTGCCTCGGCCTCTTCCTGCAGCAGCTTCGCTGTTCTTAGACTTTACCTTGAGCTCAACATCCACTAGCAGTGTGTTCAGAGGCAAACCATCTGGTAGAATAAAATATCGGGTGTTATTTCCTCAGATACTCAGCGTTTCCAGCTGCACAGGCTCTCTGTTCTTCCGGGTCACTTTTACAGCTTTCAGATGTATATTCATGATGACATCGACACCCATGACAGTTCCATGGACTTGTGTTCTATTCTTCAGTCCACTGATTACGGTTTCATGACTCAGTTTTGTAAAAAATCTCACAAGTTTCATCCAGGCTGCCTGACTGCCCTTTTCCTAGTCGATAATGCAGAGAATGTACCAACGCTGGGCCGACTAGGGTTGAATGGCCGGAATAGAGGAAACACTGCTTCTAACTTCATGAAGTACATGTATGTCATTAATGAACACTGGGGAAAGTTGATCTGTGTTATTAAACTGATAGTAAAGATGGTATCTCAAACACTAGAGAGGGGAAGAACTAGTTAGTAAACAATACAGGGGTTAGGGTAGGAGGAGCATTTAGCTTAGCAGTTAGGATGCCTACATCAGGATTGGGCTTTGGTTCCCAGCTTTGCCCCTGTCCCCGCCCTGCTCCCTTGCCCCTCTAGATTACTGCTAAAGTAGACCCTGGGAGGCACAGTGATGGTTCAGGTAACTAGATTCCTGCCTCATCTGAACCCACTTCCTGCCCCAGCCCTGGCTATTGTGGCCATTGGGGAACCAGACAGATGGGAGCTGTTATTCTCCATCTCAGTCTCTACTTCTCAAATAGATAAATTTAAAATGTGTAAAATAACGTATCAAAACATTTGGCTCACCTAGGGAAAAAAAGTCCTACCTGACTCAAAAGTAAATTCTATCAGATTGAACATCTGAATATGACAGGAAGCTATACATCAAATTCATGAGCAGGGTTGGCTCTACGGGAAGATAACATTTGAAAGATGGTATCAAAGAAAACTTACGTGTTACCTCTTACAGTTTCATTCTTTTAAAGTAAAATGTGGGGTGAGTATTGGGCCTAACGGTAAAGACGGAAGTTAAGGTGCTCAAGCCCCAAGCTGAAATGCCTGGATTTGATACCCACCTCTTCACCTGACACCAGCCTTCACCTGATACAGACCCTGGGAAGCAGCAGTAATGACTCGGGTACTTGGCCCCGAGAGGCCACACCAGCTCTGGTTTCAGCCCTGGCCATTGCCAGCATTTGGGAAGTAAACCAGCTGATGGAAGAATATTTGTCTCTGTCTTGCTTTCTCAATTAAATAGATAAATAGATATTTAAACCATCACCTACTACTTCCCAGAGTGCATGATAACAAGAAGCTGATTGGAAACAGAATAGCCAGGACAAATTGAGTACTCCTGTGGGATACGGGCATCCCAAGTGGTAACTTAACTGCTGCCTGCCCCTGAATTCCTTTAATTTTTAAAGAATATTTATTATTTTTATTGGAAAAATTTACAGAGAGAAGAAGATATAGAGAGAAAGATCTTCTATCCACTGGTTCACACCGCCCCCCCCCCCAAGTGGCTGCAATGGCCAGAGCTAAGCTAATCCAAAGCCTCTTTCATGTGTTTCCCACATGGGTGCAGAGTCCCAAGGCTTTGGGCTGTCTTCAACTGCTTTCCCAGGTCACCGGCAGGGAGCTGGATGGGAAGTAGAACAGCCAGGACACAAACTGGTACCCATATGGGATCCTGGCATTTGGAAGGTGAGGATTCAGCCAGTAACCTGTGGACCTTTTTTTTAAAAAAAATTTTTTTAATTAAAGAAGCAAGTAGGATTTGGCCCAACAGTTGAGATACCTGCAATCAGAGTGTTTGGATTTCAGTTCCCACCTCACTCCTGATTCTAGCATCCTGCTACTGCACATTCTGGGAGGCAACAAGTGATGTTCAAGCAGCTGGATTCCTGTCACTCACGTGGGAGACCCAGGTTAAGTTTTCAGCCAACAGCTTCACCCTGGCCCAGCCCTGACTCTTGTGGGCATTTGAGAGCAAACTAACAGGTGGGATAGTCCTGTTTCACTGCCTGTAGCTGTCAAATAAAGTAGATTTTTTTAAAGATTTATTTATTTTTATTGCAAAGTCCGATATACAGAAAGGAGGAGAGACAAAGAGGAAGATCTTCCATCCGATGATTCACTCCCCAAGTGGCTGCAACAGCCAGTGCTGAGCCAATCTGAAGCCAGGAGCCAGGAACTTCCTCCAGGTCTCCCATGCAGGTGCAGGGTCCCAAGGTTTTAGGCCATCCTTGACTGCTTTCCCAGGCCACAAGCAGGGAGCTGGATGGGAAGTGGAGCTGCTGGGATTAGAACCAGCGCCCATATGGGATCCTGGAGCGTTCAAGGCGAAGACTTTAGCAGTTAGGCCACAGTGCTTGGCCCAAAGTAGATCTTTAACAAGTTTTAAGGGCCTAGCATAGTGGCCAACTGGATAAATCCTTGCCTTGCACACACCAGGATCCCATGTGGGCACTGGGATCCCACATGGGCACCAATTTTAATCCCAGCTCCACTTATCCAGCCCCCTGCTTGTGACCTGGGAAAGCAGAAGAGGATGGCCCAAAGTATTGGGACCCTGAATTCATATGGGAGACCCAGAAGAATCCACAGGCTTTGGATCAGCTCAGCTGTTGCCATTGCAGCCACTTGAGGAATGAACCAGCAGATGGAAGATCTTTGTCTTTCCTTCTCTCTATAAAATCTGACTTTCCAATAAAAATAAATTTAGCTTTAAAAAAAGATACCTGGCTACATAAAAATTTTAATTAAAGTTTTTTTTTTTCATTGTATTTGAAAGGTAAAGAGATAGAGAAAGCTGCTCCATCCACTTTGTCACTTAGCAGATATCTGCAAACATTGTCATTGGGCCAGCTGGAAGCCAGGAGGTTGAAATTCAGTCCAGATCTCCCACGTGGATGGCAGTGACCCAGGTACCTGAGCTGCCTCCCAGGGTGGACAATATCTGAAAGCTGAAATGAGCAGCAGAGCTGGGACATAACTCCAGGTGTTCCTGTGTGGAACATGGGCATCCCCAACAATGCCTTGACCATTGAGCCAAAATCTGCACCCATCACAACTTTAAAAGATAAATGGGTGGGCGGGGAGACATACTAGGCATAAAATATTTACTTATATAAAAGACACAATTTGAAGAACTCTCCTATATAATAAATATGAAAATTTCCATAGGAAAAGGATATAAATGAGTCATTCACAAGAGAAATGCAAAAAGCACATATGAAAAAGAAAACTCCATTAGTAAAATTATTTTTACACTATCAGATTGGCAAAATCAAAGGGTTGATTATATTTAGTTTTAGTAAAGGAAGCCACAGACATGCTTATATATTCTTGACATAATCTTATTGAAAGCAGTTTAGCAGAAGCGCATATTTTTCTTTGACTCATACGTTCCACTTCTGAAAACACAAACTACACAAACACTGTGCAAGTCCTCAAAGATCTGTGCATGAAGCTGAGCACTTTTGGAAACAAAGTCTGCCAATTGGTGGTGAGGAGTTCTGTTTGTTTTGCACTCACAGTGGAACACTTAACTATGTAGCCATTAAAAAAAAAAAAAACAAAGAAAGTAAAGTGAGTTAGGCTGTATGTATTCCTGTGGAAAAACATAACTGAGGTGTTTGGCCCAGCAGTTCTGATGCCAGTTAAGCTACCCGCGTCCAGCTTCATGGTGCCTGAGTTTGTATCACAGCTCCAGCTCGACCCTTCCTTTCCACTACCTCCGGTGGCAGCAGTGACGGCACAAGTCACCCATATGGGAGCCCTGGATTCAGTTCCTGGCTCCCAGCTGTGTCCTGGCTGGTCCAGTTATTGCAGGTGTTTGAGAGGTAAACTTGTGGATGGGAGCTCTGTGGTGTATCTGTCTCTCTTAACCCAAAATAAGTAAACAACTTTTTAAAAAAGCTTCTGAATAATACATACAGTCTGGTCACATGTCTCTGAATACATGTGTCGTGTGTGTGTCTATGTAAACCTAGACAGCCCTGGAAGAGACCACAGCAAGCTATTGGTTAACAAATTTACTATTCTTTCTTCATAAAGAAAAAAACATAATTCTCTTGGGATGAAAACGTCAGTGAGATAAAACTGGAGGCAAAGTCACTAGTCCTACCACTCAGAAACTATGGTTTGTACTTACTTCTTTCTAGTTTGTGTTTCTTGCAGCATAAGATCTGGACTCTTTTGTTGTTGTTTTAAGATGGCTGTGATTAGATCCTGTATAGCTAGCTGTTCCCCACGCCACATCATTTGTAGAGGCCGTAGAGTGTTTACCCTGGGCCTTATCTTACCCATCACATTTTAGGTTACAGGCCTTGCTCTCTGAAAAGCCTCCCACACATGCTGAGCATCCGTGCACCCTCACAGCTGCCCCGAGCCCTGGTGGGGAATAAGCACTTTTCAAACAGGACCAGGTATTTGCTGCTGTCGACCTGTGACAGGTTCCAGCCCGACTAAGAAGCAGGGCCCCTTCCCCAGATGCTGATGCAATTCAGGTGGGAGGGATAGCGCTGCCAGCCCTATCTTCCTGCCTTTCTGGCTGGGATAAGTCAGCCCTCCCCCCTGGGCCATCCTTCCATACCACCAAATACAGACAAAAACTGCAGGCCCACATCCTCCTCCTGGGGGAGAGAAAGTAGGTCCACAGGAAGGGAGGCTGCCTCCCTCACCTTCCTCTGGGCCCCAAGGGACAGCAGTGGCTGGTGGCCACAGCAGGTGGGCCGGTGTTGGCTGTGAAGTACACAGCCAGGGCAGGAAAGAGCTCAGGAATGTCAGCCGCAGGGGGAGACCCTCTGTCCCTGCCCCTGCCCCTGCCCAGCAGGTCTTCAGGAAGAGCTTGGCCAGCAGGTGCTGGCCACGTTTTTGCGTCTCCCACTCCTGGCCCGCTGACCCGCCACTATCCCCTGGTAAGGCTGGCGGAGAGGAATTCCCGTGAGAGCATATTTTACTCCGTTTGTTGGAAAAGGGTGTAGAGCGCGCAAATTTCTATCTGCGTCTGTGGAGGTACAAAGTGGAGTGTACAGGTATCTCACCGGCCTGGTGTGTACATGTGGGTTAGAAACACAAAGGCTGTGCAGTGACCAAGTTTTTAAACCAAAAACAGAACAGCCAGTGGGTTTTGGTGTTGCCCTAGATGACTTGAGGTAGAACTGGAAAATGTCATTTGGCATGATAGAACTTCCAGGACGCTAAAGCAGTTTGTGATGCATAGGGCGGAATATTTTAAAATGCCACACTGTGTATGTGGTAAGACATCAGGACGTATTTGCCAGGGGTGGTTATTTCCTGGTTCCCGGGAGGGGTCCGTGTGGGCCACCCTTCGTGGGCTACCCTTTCCATTCTCTCACTACCAAGGAAGTAACGGGCGGGATTCAAGATGGCGCGGAAGCCTGTGAGTCCGGGCTGACTTCTCACTGCTCTCCCACCCACAGCCTACACAGACTTCTTCCTGCCACTGCTGAGCCGCTGTCCCTCCGCCATGGGGATCAAGAATAAGGACGGGGAGACCCCTGGGCAAATCCTGGGCTGGGGACCCCCTTGGGATTCCACGGAAGAGGAGGAGGAAGATGAGGCTTCCAGGGAGCGAGAATGGAGACAGAAGCTGCAGGGCGAGCTGGAGGACGAGTGGCAGGAGGTCATCGGGAGGTTTGAAGGTGAGGAGGCCGCTGCCAAGCCCCACTGACCACATGTCATGTGCCCGCCTCGTGAGTGCATCACACTGGGCTCCTCTGCCCTTGTTCCATATTTGCCTACCTCCAGGACCCAGCCTTTTTTTCTCACAGCCCCTCTCCAACCTCCCCTCCCAAACAGATGACGCTTCTGAGACCCAGGAACCCGAGTCCTTCTCTGCCTGGTCAGATCGCCTGGCCCGGGAGCATGCCCAGAAGCGCCAGCAGCAGCGGGAGGCTGCAGGACCCCATCGACCCCCTCGGAGGGCTGAGGGCTGCAGTCACAGCTGGCGACAGCAGGAGGAGGAGCAGCGACTCTTCCGAGAACGGGCTCGGGCCAAGGAGGAAGAACTGCGTGAGAGCCGAGCCCGAAGAGCCCAAGAGGCTCCAGGGGACCGAGGGCCAGAGGCGGCCAGGCCTAAGCCCAGGGCAGAGTCCCCCAGAAGGGCAGGGAGGGGCAGCCTGTGGCGCTTCAGTGATGTGCCCTGGCCCTGCCCTGGGGGCGGGGACCCTGAGGCAATGGCCGCAGCCCTGGTGGCCAGGGGACCTCCGCTGGAGGAGCAGGGGGCCCTGAGGAGATACTTAAGGGTCCAACAGGTACGTTGGCATCCTGACCGCTTCCTACAGCGATTCCGGAACCAGATTGAGACCTTGGAACTGGGCCGCGTGATGGGAACTGTGACTGCCCTTTCTCAGGCCCTGAATCGCCATGCAGAAGCCCTCAAATGAGCCGAAGGAAATGGCGAGAAACTGGGGCGCAATCTTGGGGGCGGGCAGAAGGAAGGATCCGGTGCTCTAGGAAGGAGGCAGATGCTCTGTGGAGAGGATATGGGGTGGAAGCGAAACCTGTCGGAGTGAGGTGTGGGTGCAGGCTCCACCACAGCCCCTTGACTTGTCGTTGCCTAATAAGACCTGGTTCCACATCTCACTCCCAGTGTCTCCACTGCCTTTTCCATTACTGTGGTTTCATCACCCTTAACATCTCCTTTCCTACCCACCAGCTGAGATCCGCCATCCCCACATACCTGTAACACACATGCGCAGGCTAGGGCTACCCTCAGCTGGAGAGAAACCCCTACTTGCCCACTCTAGGGGTCAGACCTAGGACGGCTCTCTCTGCCCTCCAGCCCCCCTCCCTCCCTCCCCTGGGGTCCCATCCATGCTGCAGATGTGAACAGAGGCAAAAAAGGAACAAAGCCAGTTCCCTCCCCTCCCCAGCTCCCCGGGGCAGAACCACATCCTCCTCCCCCATGAACACCCCATCTGCCCCACACAGGGCTTTCCCTTTGCTGAGTCACTGAATGAGATGAGTTGGGGGCAGCTGGGGCTGGTGGACCAGGAGGATGTTAGGGGAGGACAAGGGATAGAGAAAAAGGATGGAGGAAGATCGCTGGTGTGGGGGTGTGGAATTTTAGTTGCTAAAAATAGGAGCAGAGGAAGGAGGTGGAAAGGCCTAGTTATGTAACCTGGATTATCTGTTCTTAGGCAACCAGAGTCTCACACCCAAGGCTAGTCAGACTGCTAGACCCCAGCTGGCCCCGCCTTCAAGCTTATCAGTCCTGTCTCTGCTCCAGGACCAGAGTCTATGTCTCCTGCACAGGTTCTAACCCCCACTCCAAACTCAGGCCTTGACTCTGGGAACCCCAGGCTTGGCCTTCCACATCAACATCTCCTTTTCCAAGCACCAGAGGTGGAGGGAGAGGCCTGGAGCTCACATGGAGCAGGAAGTGGACTTCATTCCTCCCACTCTTCTTGATGGGTTTCCACTACAGCTCCAAGAAAACCAGGATAGGAAGTTGTAAATCACACCCACTGCCATCCGCCAGGCCACACCCTGGAAGAGAAAGGGCAGGCCCTGCTAAGCGGTGTGTGCGCCATCTGTGCACATCTGCATCAGAGAATCCTAGCATCAGAAACTTAGTCTTTAGCTTTGAGCCGTGATCTACACCAGAGAATCCCACCAGTGATAGTGGCAGAAGGTGGTAGGACGGGGTGAGGAAGCCTCTGGAAACCTGGGGACAGGGACCCAGCCTGAGACTGGAGACAAGAGCTCAGAATAGTGAGGAGGCCATGGCCTCCAAGGGACCAGGCAGATGTTCAGGGGCAGAAAGGAGGGCTGGTGAGAAAGATCCTGTGAGAGGAAGCTACTGTGAATCAGAGAAGAGACTTAACGCTGTGAGCAAGCCAGGCGTCCAGTTCCTCTCACAGACTGGAGATTTCGGAAGTGGCATGCAAAAAGCCTGGGCTTGGAGCTGGGGGTGGGGGAGGGAGCTGGCGTTAGCATCCCTAAGTCAGAGGGTTGAGAGGTAAGCAACAGAAAAGCTTAACATCAGATCTGCTCCTCTGCCCAGATCTCTGCGGAGTGAAGCACCTTGTTCCTCTTCCCACAGTGGTTGCCTGAAACCAAAGCAAAACAAGCCCTTGCTCGTGGGCCCCTCGACCTCCCTCTCTTGAGTGTCCCTTCTTGGTGTCTGGCCCCCAGCCCTGATGGGGGTTCCCCCAAGAAGAGGGCTGTTCACTTTCTCTGACCACACGGTTTCCGCTTCTGTGTCTCTTGCTTCCTAGGCTGATAAAAATACTGCGCCCTAGAGGCCCTGGCTTCCTCTGACCCCTGATGCCAGGCAGCAGGCATCCTGTCCACCACAGTAAAGGGGACAGGAAAGGGGCCCAGGGATCCCCAAGGGGTGACTTGGTGCCTCCCGTGAAGCACTAGGGAGGTGCAGGTGTGGGCCTGTCTGCTCTCTAGAGCCAAATCTCAGTGGAGGAAACATTGGGGTTCAGTGTGAGAAACCCAGTTGGTGACATTGAAGAGGCTGGAATGATGATTGGATCAGCAGGAAGGTAGGTTTGAGTCCAGTTAGGAAAAGGATCAGGCGGGATGCTCTCAGAGCAGGTAGGCTGAGCATGATGGAGCCCAAAGAGAACTGCAAACCCTGCTTCAAGTGTGTCTCCCCACCTTACTTGCACAGTCTGATGGTAAGGCACCATGGCTGCAGAGAGGAGGGAGGTGGACACCATTTGCAGGAAGCCCAGGTGTGAGAGCCTGCTGTGCAGAAAGAAAGATAATGTCAAGGTTACAGACAGGCGCTTCATGCTGTAGGCAGTGGTACTGACAAACAATTCAGGAGATCAGGAACATGCTTCAGGACATGCAGGCAGGAAATGAAGAAAACCTGTCATGGAAACCCTACTATGTGTTAGCAATCCCTTTCCCAACGTCTTGTTAGCATTCAGGAAACATGTCCCAAAGTTGGCTTGCTAAGAACTTTAGAGGAGACCAAGAGGCATCAGGAACGCACGCTCTCTCTCTCTCTGTCGCTCTCACTCTATTTTTGTCTTCCGTACTCCCCCTGAAGCAAATCATGGAAGTAACTCCTTTTTCCAAATCAGGACATAGAAACTAAACCTTTTTCCCAAAACCAGCCACAGACTCTAGAAACCTTCTAACCTTCCCCACCTTTTGGTGTAGGAATTGCCCATGAACTGTCTGACTTGCCTATCTGGCAGTTGGTTAGAAGAGTTTCATTCCAGACCAGTCCTACCTGAGTTGCTTCAAAGAGAGGCCAAGAAGAATCCGAACAGACAGGCCACACATTTCCGCCCTCCATCTGTTCCCATTCATTCATTCACACCCTTTTTGTCCAATCACATTTCCATATGCTATCCATTCTTCATCAGATCTAGACATCAAAATGGACAGTTTTCTCTGGGGCCTGGGTCTTCATTTCTGAAGGTTCCTATATCATGTAAAGCTTTGATTAAATAAATTTGTTACACTTTTTTTCTAGCTAACCTGTCTTGTTACTGGAGAATTAACACTAAACTCATCTGACTCTAAAACGTGTGTGCTTTCTATTTAAGCCCTAATAACATCAAATGACATTTTTTAAAAAAAGGGGGTCAGAGTTCACAAACTGTGAGCGAACCTTAGAACATAACAACCAATTGAATGGTCAAAGTGGGGAAAGAAGACTTATTTTTGATCCTAGAAGATTGAAAATATGATGATCCTCTAAACCGAGGCCATTTGGGATATTTATGCCATCATGCAAGAAGCCATACAGAGTTAACAACTTCAAAATTGGCCTGCTATAGAGTGATTGGATTTCGAGTCCCACCTGCAGCTGCCTCGGCAGTCCCAAAGCAGATGATGCCACCGTCTGCAGGCCAGACATGCCCCAGCCTGCTTCGCTCAAGAAGCATAGCTGAAACCAAAGCTAAGTAGCTCAGCTTCAAAGGCATTTACACTTTTCCTTGGCAATTGTTTGGAGCAGGACAGTTATTGCCAGACAACAGATATAAATGCGAATGCCACTGCCCTCCTTGCTCTGCAGTCCAATGAGGCAAACAGCAGCAGCCATACTAGAGATGGAAGGTGCACCTGCTTGGAGGAATCAAGCATGACTCTTGGGAGAATATCTTCAGCAAGTAGGTCTGAAGCTCAAGAGTTTGGACTGGAAGGGTAGATTTAGCCATCATCACCCACACAGGAGAGGTGGTAGAGCGGCCAGAAGAGCCCCGAGAATGATCAAAGGCAAACAAATCCGTAAAGCCGCAAGGCTCGAGGAGCAGTCAGAGAAGTAGGGCAAGCGGGGGTTTTGCAAACAGTCTGGCAGGCACGGCTGGGGCTTCAAAGGGCTTGAGTGGATGAGGGGGAGACATGATTCTTGGGGTTCAGGAACTAGATGATTACAAATTTTGAGAAAATAATTTCCATTGAATAAGGGACAGAAATCACTTTGCATCGGTTGAGGAATGAGTGAGTGGGAGGTGAAGAAAGGGAGGCAGTGAGTACGATGTGACAGAGGGCGAGTACAGAAGATCAACGAGAAACATTGCTCAGTTCTACCCACGGATTTAGCCAACAAGGAAAATGTTACCAGTTCCTGAAAAAGTGGTTAGGTGAGGCGGTTAATCTCCTGAGATCACATACATAGGAAAGGGAGAAGGAGAATGGACAGGGGAAAAAAGTTCAGGGGAATATATTTTGTTTATTTTCAAGAAATAAAACTGAGTACATTGGTAAAAGGGAAGATGCATGAAAAGACATACTAAAAATTTAAGTAAGGAGGAGGAAGGACATAGTAAAGACAACACAGGATAAAGGGCGTGAATAAAAGGACCAGCCTTGGAAAGGAGAGAGATTTCATCTGAACCAAGAGAAAAAGATAACAGGATTGGCACTGTTATCTCGTAGGTGAAGCCTCTGCCTGTGGTGTTGGCATCCCAAATGGGCATGGGCTTGGGCAAATCTCAGCTTCTCTGCTTTTCTTTTCTTTTCTTTTTAAGATTTATTTTTATCGCAGGCCTAGCACAATAGTGTAATGATTAAGGTCCTTTCCTTGAACGTGCTGGCATCCCACATGGACACCAGTTCTAATCCCAGTAGCTTCACTTCCCATCCAGCTCCCTGCTTGTAGCCTGGGAAAGCATTTAAGGACGGCCCAAAGCCTTGGGACCCTGCACCCGTGTAGGAGACCTGGAAAGAAATTCCTGGCTCCTGGCTTTGGATCAGCGTAGCACTGGCCGTTGTGATCACTTGGGGAGTGAATCATCAGACGGAAGATCTTCCTCTCTGTCTCTCTGTACATCCACATTTCCAATAAAATAAATAAATCTTTAAAAAAAAGAAGAAGACTTATTTTTATCTTAAAGTCAGATATATAGAGAGGAGGAGAGACAGAGAGAAAGCTCTTCCATCCGATGATTCACTCCCTAAGTGACTGCAACGGCCAGTGCTGTGCCGATCCAAAGCCAGGAGCCAGGAACTTTCTCCAGGTCTCCTACGGGTGCAGGGTTCCAAGGCTTTGGGACATCCTCTACTGCTTTCCCAGGCCACAAGCAGGGAATTGAATGGGAAGTGGAGCTGCCGGGATTAGAACCGATGCCCATATGGGATCCTGGAGCTTTCAAGGTGAGGACTTTAGCTGCTAGGCCACAGTGCCAGGCCCAGATTCTCCACTTTTAATACAGCCCTCTGGTTATGGCTTGGGAAAACAGCAGAGGCAGGCTCAAGTTCTTGGGCAACCAGAAGCTCCTGGCTCCCAGTTTCAGACCAACTCAGCTCCAACCATTGCAATTATTTGGGGAATAACCAGCAGATGGAAGATCTTTCTGTCTCTTCCTCTCTCTCTGTAACTCTGCCTTTGAGGTAAAAATAAATACATCTTTTTTAAGAAAAAGAAGAAAGGTGAAACATAAATAGCAAAGTGAAGTGAGCAGAAAAAAATTAAAACCCCACCAAGCTATCTTCCTTAGATGACCTTGAACTTGATGTCACCAACTGAGAATGGAGAAGTAAAGTGAAGAACATGGGAGGCAGGAAAATGTATGCCATACCTGCAGGAGTATAATAAGAAGTCAACAGAGTAACTGGCAACTTGATCAAGGAATACAAAGGCCTCTAGGTGGTGGCGGGGTGTCTGTCAGAGTAGGGAGTCTAGTGATGACACGATTCTCTGGAAACGTAGGCAGATTCAAGAAGGGGGCCTTTGGACTTACCTCCATAACGTATTTCAGGATCTTCCTGGCAAAATGTCTGGTAGGCAAGAAATTCTAAAACTGTAGTGAAAATGTAGTTGAAATTGTTATCTGTGCACTATGCTAAGTCACTCCTGGTGGGAGTGAAGAACCAATTCACCGGGAGGAAAAGAGTGGGAGATGCGAAAAGTGGGTGGTTGTGATGAAAGGGAAAATTTCAGAGTTCAATGTCATGAAGGTAGGGCAGACATCAGATACAGCTGCTAAGATGCTGCTTGGGATGCCCCCATTCCCTGTCAGAGGGCCAGGGTTGGCTTTCCAGCTCCACTTCCGATCCCTGCTTCCTGTTAGTGCACACACCAGGAGGCAGTCGTTCAGTTGTTTGAGTTCCTGGTACCTGTACTGGAGACCCAGACTGAATGCAGGTTTCTTAGCCCTGGCTCTTGCTGGCATTTGTAGACTGAACCATCAAATGGAAGATTCTCATATTCATTCTCTCTCTCTCTCTTTTTTTTTTTCTTTCTCTCTCTTTCAAATAAAATTTTAAAAAACAGACCTTAAAGATTTATCCCTTTGAGCCCAGCACAGTAGCCTAGCAGCTAGGGCCCTTGCCTTGAACACACCGGGATCCCATATGGGTGCCAGTTCTAATCCCAGCAGCCCCATTCATATCCAGCTCCCTGTTTGTGGCCTGGAAAAACAGTTGAGAACAGGCTGGGAACTTGGGACCCTGCACCTGGAGGAGGCTCCTGGCTCCTGGCTTCAGATTAGCTCAGATCCGGCTGTTGCAGCCACTTGGGGAGTGAATCAGCAGATGGAAGATCTTTCTCTTTTTCTCTCCTCCTCTCTGTATACCTTTTTTCCCCCCCTCTCTCTGCATATCTGACTTTGCAATAAAAATCTTAAAAGAAAAAGAGAGAGAGATTAAAAAAAGATTTAAAAGAGAGATATCCCTTAATAAGTGATACTGAATTTCAAGGTATGACTTTGCTTAGAACGGCTGCAATGGAGCAGACTCCAGCCTCATGGTGCTGCTGTTTGCTATGGAAGAATCCCATTCTGGAGCTGATTTGAGTCACAGGATCCAAATCCCTGCTTATGCTCCTGGAAAGGCAGCAGATGATGGCCCTGAGTGCCTGGGCCCCTGCCACCCATGTGAGAAACCAGGATAGAGTTCCTGGCTCCTGGCTTCAGACTGCTCGAGCCCTGACTTGTTGCAACCATTTGGGGAATGAACCAGTGAATGGAAGATTTGTTTGTTGTTCTGCCTTTCAAATAAATAAATTCATTTTAAAAATAGAATAAAATAGACAAAGAGGCTGCAGAGATGTTGGAGTGGAGAAAGTTGTAGAATCAAGATGCCAGACTGCAAAACTAATCTAATCTGTATGATTTTTAAAGTCATTGAAGATGGTGGTAGGAGATAAGATGCGGAGAAAAGCAGAGCTAGATCCGCAAGTTATTAAGAGCACAGCGTGGGGCTGAGGGAGGAGACTGATGCGAACACAGACCAGAGTAGCAAATGCAAAAGATTTCAGCCTCTAGAGAGGGGGAGGAGGAAGTTATCAATGGTGCAGGGGTTGGAAGGAGAGAACCGTGACCTCTCTCCCATGCCCTGCCCCCACAGCGATGAGGGTCTCTCTCTGCAGCCTTCACCAAAGCAAAAGCAGCAGCGGAAGGAAAAGGCCGGTGTCAGTGTGCCCAGAGGAAGATCATTCTGAAATCAAAATAGAGGATTTGAATGTGTGAGAGAGATCAAACTTCAGGGAGAAGGCAGGAGGCAAAGATAAAGCCTATAGGGCTTGGGCTGCTTCCAGAACACAGAAAAGGAGATGTGTTACACTCAGTGTGGGGGGAACATACCTGGGGTCTTGGCTTCAATGTAATGAAGAAACAACTGAGCTTTGATTTAGGTTCTTTTTTTTTCCCCCCCACAAAAATAAATTTGTCTTTTAGTTTCTATTCCCTGTGAACTCTATCAAGCCTTCTTTGATACACCTGGAAGAAATGGGGATGCACAAGATAAGGCATCTCTTTCAGTTCGTGGCTTTAAATGCCATTGCCATTGACAACTCCCAGTTTTCATTCTCTCTATCTCCTACTTTAACCTCTGAAATCCAGAAATCACATATCCACCTCCACTTACAATCTAATTTATTTTGATTCAGTACACAGCCCTTCACCAGAATCCCACTGCTCTCCCCATCACCCCTTCCCCTCCCATCTATCTGATCCATCATATAGACCTGTTGCTTCTACTTCTGGAATGGAACCCAAATGTATCCATTTCACTCCATATCTGTGGCTGCCAC